ACAGTCTGGACAGTAGGAAATTATTTTCAACCTTTTGGTAACTGACAGATAACAGTGTATGTCCAGTGACATCCGCTGGCTTCAGCCCTGCACTATATTTTTTCCTTTTTGACTCAGCAGCCTTAAAACCAAACTTGTAAGCTCTGTCATGAAGCTACATTCTAGTACAAGAGGCAAACCATATAAATTTAGATAGCTCTGGTTAGTACAATTCCCAAACTGTTATTCTTCACATTAACTTACAAAGAATTTCAGATTACATGACAGTCAGAAAAGTTTTAGATTTAAAGTGGAACATTTTTCAGAGAAGTGTCAAAAATTAAGATGGAAACTTACTCTTTTAGGATTTCTATTTCTGTGTAGTTTTAATGTGGCACTGTGTATGAGCTTGGAAAACTCATAGGCTGATGCCCCCTTGTGGTCTATTACCAGAATAAATCGGACAGACAGGCAGATCTCACTGTGTGTTAAGCTATTCGTTCACTTACAAAATAATTGTAAGAAATAAACTCCTGGAGAAAAGCAGCAAAGGAATTCTTCTTTTTTGCCATATAATCTACTTAAAATTTATCAGATATTAATTTAACCCTGAAACAGAATATGTTAATTTGTTAGCTGGACACTGATGTACAGGAATTAGTTGTTACAAGTGTGTTAAAAATATTACAAGGAGCTGGCATTGTGGCACAGTGGATTAAGCAGCTGTTTACCATACATCTCATATCACAGTGCTGGTTCAAGTCCCGGCTGATCCACTCCCAGTCCAGATCACTGCTTCTGGACCTGGGAGACAGCAGGTGATGGCCAAGTACTTGGGCCCCATCCACCCATGCAGGGTATCTCTCTATATAGAGTTCTAGTCTCATGGCTTCAGCCTGGGGTAGCCCTAGCCATTGTGACTATTTGGGGCGTAAACCAGTGGATGGAAGATTTCTCTGTCTTCCTGGTTCTCCCTCTTTCTCTGTGTGACTTTGCCTTTGGAAGAAATAAATAAATCTTTTTTAAAAAGCTGAGATGTGGTAGCAATTATGGAGTTAACCCATTACTTCCCTGCCCTACGCTTAAACACCTGTATGTATAGTGGATGGCTCTTGAGAAATTTATTTATTTATTTATTTATTTTGACATGCAGAGTTAGAGATACAGAGAAAGGTCTTCCTTCCATTGGTTGACCCCTCAAATGGCCACTACGGCCGGCGCACTTGCCAATCCGAAGGCAGGAGCCAGGTGCTTCCTCCTGGTCTCCCATGCGGGTGCAGGGCCCAAGCACTTGGGCCATCTTCCACTGCCTTCCTGGGTCACAGTGGAGAGCTGGACTGGAAGAGAGAAATTTATTGTTTATACTTAGCTGTTTGATCTGAAAGGGCCAGGAACTGTATGAGGCATTGGAAGAAATAAGGGTCTTCATTTGTGAACTGTTGAATTTAATGTATTTGCTTTTACTGACATTGTTGGAATGTGAGTGTGGTAGAGAGGAGGAAATGGAGGAGAAATAGCAACAGCACTCAGGGTTTTAAGACAGACAGACTGCAAATCTAAACAGCTGCTTTTCTTCTGTTATCCAGTATGTTGCATGATGGTTGGAAGCAGTCCAACATAGGGGAATATAGGTTTTGGGACTAGATAGACCTGGTTTTAAAATTAATTTAATTTCCTACAGTTATTGGTCAGTTGAATAATACTGGTTATGTTACTCCATCTCTGAACATAGGTTTTCTTTCTTTAAAAAGAGATTAAAACCTCCCTCACTGAAGTGTTTGCAGTTTGATTTTCATCATATGGAGTCTTGGCATATACCACTGTTGTTATTTCTTAGGTTAAGAACAGTTTTGAGTTATGCTGAATGTGTACCATGTGATTTTTGTAGCTCCTAAATTGTTAGTAAAAATTCTTAATGAGAGACTATATCTTAAAAAGTGGTAAATCAATTCATAGTTGCTCTTTACTGTGGACTTACTGCTGTGATACTGTATAAGTGCGTATTTATAAATTCATGTCTGTGAGACTGGTCATTATATTAAAGAATTTACTAAGTTATTTTGATAATTGAAACCTAGTAACCAAGTATATATTTTTTAAGATTTATTTATTTGTTTGAAAAGCAGAGTTACACAGAGAGAGGAGAGACAGAGAAAGATATCTTCCATCTGCTGGTTCTTTCCCCAAATGGCTGCAAAAGCCAGGAACCCAGGAGGTTCTTCCGGGTCTCTCCACGTGGGTGCAGGGACCCAAGCTCTTGGTCTACCCTAACATGCTTTCCTAGGCATGTTAGCAGGGAGCTGAATGGGAAGTGGAGCAGCTGGGACTCAACCCAGCACCCACAGGGATGCTGGTGCTGTAGGCCAGGGCTTTAACCCACTGAGCCACAGCGCTATCCCTGCCCCCTCAATCTTTTCTTCAAAAGGATACAAAGTTTTCTTTAGCAGCACTGTTTGCATATTTTGATAGGCTTATCTTAAAACAATGACAATAAAAACTAGTATTGTTCTTCCATAACCATTTCACTTTTGTGGAGGATGAGAACAAAAGTGTTTTGGCTTTTTCCTTTGTTTTTCAAGAATTACTTGCAGAACCAAACTTAAGACTGTGGTTACTTCATCTTTTTAATAATAAAAGGAATTAATTTGAATAGTCTTTCAGAAAAAAAAATCTTTGGAGTTCAGAAAAATAATTTTTTTTTGAAAAGCCCAAGTATATTCAACTTTGACTTGTATGACTTTGTCCTTTCAAAATTTAACTTGGTAGCTAAGTCATAAGAATTTATTAATTTTTTCTTTCGAATAACTTGCTGTAAGAGAAGAGAACAAAATCTCAGCTTATAAATTTAGCTGCTTGGGTTCAAATGTTTTTTGAAAGCAGGTGGGCTGTATATCATATAAACACAAATAAAAGTAGACACTGTCATAAAGCTTTTTATTTTCATACCTGCCTCTTTTTTAAATCTTTCTCCTTGTTTCTAATTTCCAAAATATTGCCTCTCTAGCTCCATTTGGAAAGTATATCTGATATTCTAAACACTCTGTGTAACTAATAAAGACTTTAAATGTTTAGGTAGCATTTTGGTCATGAAAATTTCTCTTAGATATCATGAAATGGATGTTTTGTTGTTACTTTATCCTTGAATATCTGTTTCTGAGGAAAGTGTTTTAGGAAAGAAAAAGGCTGAGGAGTAGAGAAAGGATGGCTGGAACAAAGTGGAGGGTAGACTGGGGGGGTGTTGGCAGGGACACATGCCATTCTACCAGTGACGTGTGTTTTAAACATAAAGAGCATGTGTGCCAAATTTACATATTTACTAATTAAAAGGGCTTCCTGGAAACATTAAGTAGACTATCTTCTATAACCTTTAACACCGTCACTAATGGATATAGCCTAGAAAATTCCATCGAAGGTCCTTTAAATAATGTAAATGATTATGAATATGTAACTAGTTAATATGCAGCTACGAGAGGATTATCATGTAGAGGTTAATGAACATTCTGCTCTTATGGTTTGCAGGGCTTTTCTTTTTGTGCTTTTGGCTTACTTCATGCTTGGAAACACATGCATTGGGATTGGAAAACATCCTGACTGTTTTTGGGTCTCATCTTTTAATGGGGTTGTTATATAGGAACTTTATAAGAAGGATTTCATGAAGATATTTTTCATTTTCAATTTACATTTAATTCTATTTGTCTATTTTATAATTACTGCCAAATCAGAAACACTGGAATGGATTGATGTGGTTTAGCTTGGCTCTTCCAGATGTAAAGTCAGTGCCCTATTATGTATTACCACTGTTATTAAGTGTTGCTGTGTGATTGATACTTACTGAGAGATGTTCATTCTAAAATGGACTTTTTATGCTGAGTTAATGTGCAGTATGGTTGGAGATCTGATTACAGCATGTATTTTGGTACAGGATTGCTGTCTTAGTATTTAAAATGTCCCAAAGGAGAGGACATTTATTTCAGGAATTAAATATTATAATACAGGAATTTAGTGACAGGTCTAAAAAAAAATCTTGTGATTTTTGGTTGAAGCATCGAGCATATCCAAGAGACAATGCTGGTATTTGGAACAGTGAACTCAGGCAATGTGTTGCAAACCAGATCATACTTCTATTTTTTTCACATGATCTTGTATTAAGCATTTTGATTTTTATCTTAGTTTCTCTGCCTCAAAAATGGTGCTAGTGTATTATAGATTACTGTTTAAATTTTTATTAATGGATGACTTTAAGTAGATGATTAGCATTCTTTGAAAATAGTGTTAATTTTAAAATTAGTATTCAAATATGGTGTTAAATTGCATTTTTTTCCTTAATGACTTGTAGTACTTGTTTTCTGTCATTTTGAGAATCTGTTGAAATACCTATAAGGAAAACAAATAACTTTTATGTTTGTTTTAGTTTAAACTATGAAGTGCTTAACATTTTATCATAATTCACTGGGAAAAAAATAAGCTGTTCAGAGCATCTCTTTATACCAAGTATTTCTTCTTGAAAATGTAGTAGAAAAATATCACTGAACTCATTTTTAATGCATCAGAATAAAAATTACAAGTGAAAACATTTGGAGATATACTGACAAAATAAAATATTTTCACTACTGTCATTTTTTAAAAACTGATGAAACGTGGATGTACCATTGGTTTCTTGTTATTTATAACGTTTGTGTATTCTACAGAATATGTAACATTGAAAACAGGTCTGTAGATTGTACAAAATACTAGTTATCTTATATCATATGTCACGTAATAGTTATGAAGTGGGTTTTGTACCAAAGTATGAATCGGAAAGCTGTAATTTGTTCTGCAGTTATCAGCTTGCATTAAAGGGTTATGATAAAGTATGCTGCTTAAAAAGTACCATTCACATCTCTGTGCATGTGACAAATAAAAATGTGTACTGAGATGCTGTTAAATCTGTAAAGCCACTGTTGGGGTTTTCTGATACACTGATTTTGTAGCTTTGTGCATAGCCCTGTTTTTTCATGAGTAGTTATCTGTTTTCATGACAGGTGGTCACTAACTGCCAGGAGAAAATCCAGCATTGGTGAGTGAAAGATGGTTTTATTACACTTCTGCAATACTGATTAGATCACCCAGTTGTATTTAAATAATATGTATACTATTTTTTTGGTGTGTGTTTGACCAGTAATTGAATTCTTCTAGTAATCTCCATTTTGAATGCCTTTGATACTAATTTATGTTGTCTTTCATCCTTTCCTGAGTTGCATGTTCCCTGATTTTCTGAGGTTGTGTTACCATTTGTGTTTATTCTGATTCTTTTTTCCTTTCCTTTCTTTTCCTTTTTTAAGTTAGGATGATGTTACATTGTGAAGTGGTGACAGTCATTTTTCAACCTAACTAGTCATGGAAAGCTCTATGAATATTTCTTTTATTTGTAGTAGAAAATGGAATCAGTTATTTTAAAACAGTGATGGGAATATGGCACAGCTATTCTTTCCCAAGATTTGAAAAAAATCTAATGAATTTCCTATGTTTCAGAGCTTTCTTTATGTACTACACCTTTTTTCAGGAAGGAAGAAAGCATATCTATTTTAATGTGCTAATCTGTAGTTAATAGGACAATGCTTGGTAAATAACACTTATTGTTGTTGAGAAAAGTGCTCAATTTATTGGTGAATAAAATGTTATATTAAGAGTTGTCATAAGGTATAGCTGTTGATCTTACAGATATCAAATTACAATATATCCATGCTGTGTTTACAAAGATTTTACCAAGAGAACAACAGGAACTGTCTTGATTATTGTCTGCAGGGTTATTGCAAAATCATGGTAACTGCCCCTTTAGTGGTGAGATTAAACCTTTGGTTATACACCATCAAGCATATAATATTTTAAATTTATTTTAAGAGGCTTTTTCTTCATGCCTGAGAGATCTCCAAGGAAATAATTTATAGTTAGTGTATATCAATGTTCTTTTGGTTTAAATGCACATAGGCTGCAAGCAGTGGATAAGAGTGAAAATCAGTGTAATCTGTACACATTCACTTATTAAATTTTGACCATTGGCTTGCAGAAAGTAATCTAAACTAATAATATCCACTTTATAAGTAAAAATTCAGGACTTCATTAATTTTCAATAAATGCAGTGTTGTAGTTGCATCTATTGGTAGCGTATGTCTGTCAACATTTCCATAATAGGCCATTTGCTTTTCCATTACACATTCAGTTCATGTTGAAACTTGAAATGCAAGTCCTTGGCCAAAGAATGTTTTTCCCCTGCAGATTTGGCCAAAGTGATCTGTTTTACAAATAATTCCCAGGGCAAGTTTTATTAATGTGGACCTCTATCTATTAGTTTTGGTGAGGAGTTCAGGAAATTAGAAAGGTTGTATTCACTCAGAATAGATACCACTTTACACTTGTGTGGATAACTGCCTGCTTCTGGTTTGCTTTGTGATTCTTTCCCTGTTAGATAATTCTTTAAGGATAAGGGAAGGGGCATGTTTTCATCTTTTTATCCACAAGCCCTTCTACTGTGTTTGGCACAAAATAGGCACTGTGTAAATTTTTGGATAAATGAAGACCAAATATGTAGCTATTATATGTAACACTTTAGTCTACAAATAGTGTGCGCAAGTGTGAGCAATGATAGAAATGCAGCAGTTACTTCTGGGGGCTGGGGGGTTATTGTGACCTTCAACCTCACTTTGCAGTTTTTCTAAAACCCTCCAAACTACAGAAGCTTTAACATACTTGCTTATACATATCTTAAAGTAATATTGGAGCATTTCTGTACATGAAAAAATTAAAATTTTTTTTCCATTTAAATTTTGCTTTTTTTCCTCTGAGTCATTTCTGATTATGGCTCAGAAAACAGACTTTTCTGTTTGCTTTTAAATGAGGATCTGTATGTGGTATCATGATATTGCTAGAATTTAAATGGCCATTGAACTCATCAATTTATATATTCAGAAATTGAAACCAAAATGTCTTCAGTCCTCTGAAAGCCAGGAAATTGCTGTTTGGGAGCATCGTGGAATTCTGGTGGTATTTTTACATTCTCTTAATTCCTCCAACAATGATTGAGTTCCTACCGCATGCCAGTATTGTGCTATTCGGAATTGAAAGACCCTGAGATGGAGAAATTCATACATAGTCAGATGCTAAATAAGGCAATGACAATAATTTTGTGCTATTTGCAGAGATATTAAGCAAGTATGGAGGGAGTTCAGAGGCTGGAGCTGGTTTTAAGGGTGTCTGATATACTACTTTTAAAAGCATGCTGGTTTTTCAATTCTTCTTTAACTCTTGATGTTAGCCTAGTCCAAAATATAATTAATGTAGCTAAGCTCCTGTTCTTAATGGGCACATACCAATTTAATAAGAACAGTGAGTAAAGTATAAGATTAAAAAATACATTCTTATGATAGTGGTGTTTGTGATTACTTGTGTGTTTTTAAAGGATTCTTTAAGGGACAAGTAATGTATAATCTTGACTTCAGAAATAATCTAAATTGTATTTCTTTTAAAGATAGGACAGGAAGTAGAAACATATGTAGAAAAATGGGACTAAAAATGTTCTGGAACCTCAGATCTGCCCAGAAAAATCTCTTCCAGAGAATTAATTCAAATCCTAGAACTTTGGTGAACCAAGACATTTATAGTATTTATGTAGTTAATAACAGATGAAAAGGAAATATTTGAGCCTAATAGAAGAGGATTCGTGCATCACAGTTTTAAAACTAATAGTGGTTTTCAATTTGGTAAGGACATTAAACATTTTTTGAAATACATTTTCCCCTTATAATCCTTTTTACTTAACTTGGGAAATAAGTATTATAAAACCTACACAATATTTTTTCACTAAAATATGAATATGCCTCTTACTATGTGGTCCACTGGCAGCTGATTATTCTGTTTTTTGACTGTAACTTAAAATGTATTTTCAATGTATTTGAAAGACAGAGAGCTAGAGACAAAGAGATATTTATTGTATTTCATCCACTAGTTCACTTCTCGAGGGCCCTCAACAGCTAGGGTTGGGGCAGACTGAAGTCAGGATCTGGTCTCCCATTTGAGCAGTGGCAGGAAATCAAGTACTTGAGCCATCATCTGCTGCCTTCCCAAGGCATATATTAGCAGGAAGCTGGATTGGAAGTAGAGGAGCTGGGACTTGAACCAGGCATTCAAATGTGGGGTGCAGGTGTCCCAAGTGGTGTCTTAGCCACTGCATCAAGCACCTGTCCCAGATTGTAATTTTTTATCTTTTACATCTTTATTAAGGAGCATGGAGTTTGGAGTTGCAGACCTAGATTTGAATCCTGTTGCTTACTAATTTTATAACCTTGGACAATTACGCTTAGAGTCTCAGTTTTCTTCTTGTCAAGTGGTGATGATAATACTTAACTCACAAGGTTGTTGCAGTAGAGAGCAGATGAGATAATGTCTATAGAACACTCAGCCTGGCCCTCAAGTATTAATAGTAGCTCATATAGTTTCAAAATTTTACTGTCAGTTAATGAAGCCAATGCTTTGTAAATATTTGTGCCATTATCTTTTATAATGGATAATTCAATTTCTAGGCACTATTATTACAACTTTACATTAATATTTTAAAGTAACTTTTTAAAAATATAGTTTTATTTACTTTAAAGGCAGTTATAGAGAGAAAGAGAGAGAGATACCTTCTATCCGCTGGTTCACTTTGCAAATGGCTGCAACAGCCTGGGCTGAGCCAAGCTAAAGCCAGGAGCCAAGAACTCCATCTGAGTCTCCCATGTGGTTGGCAAAGGTCCAACCACTTGGGCCATCTTCTGCTGCTTGAGCATTAACAGGGAGCGGGGAGCTGGATCAGAATTGGAGAAGCTGGGATTTGAACTGGAGCTCATACAGGATGCTATGAGTGAGTGGTGGTGTCTTAACCTGCCATGCCACAGTGCCAGCCTGTAAAGCAACCTTTTAATAAGAATTTCAAACAAAAGGGGGCACAGTAACATACTCAATTCTCACGTTACCTATCAACTAGCTTCAATAATTTCAACTCATGGTTTTATCTAAAGTTTTGTTTCAACATCCTGTTCCTACCATCTACTCCAACCTCCAGTAATTTTGAGATGAATCTAAATCATATATAAGTCATATTGCTAATTAGTAAAATTACTCCAGATCATAGTGGTTTAAAACCATAACCAGTGGCCTGTGCTGTGGTGTAGCAGGTAAAGCCACTGCTTGCAGTGCTGGCAGTTCGAGTCCTGGCTGCTCCACTTCTGATCCAGCTCTCTACTATGGCCTGGGAAAGTAGTAGAAGATAGCCCAAGTCCTTGGGCCACTGCACCCATGTGGGAGACCCGGAAGAAGCTCCTGGCTCCTGGTTTCAGATAGGCACAGCTCCAGCTGTTGTGGCCAATTGGGGAGTGAACCAGCGGATGGAAAACATCTCTCTCTCTCTTTCTGCCTCTCCTCCTCTCTTTGAGTAACTCTGACTTTCAAATAAATAAATAAATCTTTAAAAAAAAAAAAAACAAACCATTTACTTGTGCAGGACTCTGTGAGTGTGCTTATTGAGGTTGGTTGCAACCGTTCGGTGACTGTCCGGAATGGTTTTGTTCATGACCTGTGGCTAATGCTGGCTGTTGGCTGAACTTCTCTCTCCATGGGTTCTTCTATCCAGTTTACTTGACATGGTAATCTTAGGACAGCAAGCATGGAAGCTGTCAGGCGGTGTTCTTCATCAGAGGAACTCACAAAGGCAGACCAGATTTAAAGGTGGGGCAGTAACCTCCACCTTTTGTTTTGACAAGAGGAGTGGCAGGCAGATAATCTGGTCATTTTCATTGTACCATGTATGACTTCTATTGAGTATGTCCCACAAGCAAAAGGAAGTCTCAGTACTTCATGTTCACTGGTAGGAATTAAATGAGACAGTGTGACTTCTTCATATGTATTCTTAAGGATTCCTTCCTGTGCTTTTTCATAAGAATTTATATTGTAGAAAATTTGGAAAATAAAAACATAAAAATTATCTGTGAACTCAACACCTAAAATTAACTAGGCACTTTGGGCTATTTCTCTTTTACTTAGACT